GCTCCATTGTATCCAGGAGAAAACAGGAGATAAGGAAGATAAGATAAGGAAGCCCAAGGCTTTCCTAGCTGTTTCCTGTACTTTGAGAATCTTCCCAGATGGACTTTAAAAAGACACATTGGCTCTCTTGCCTCTGATAGGCAGTGTGCTATCCTACATGGACCAAGGATCCAAGCTGCCCTGTCCCCATGTAGACTTTAAATTTTTCTATTAAGGTTGGAAAAAACCTTCAAGATTATCTAGTCCAAATTTTGACTAAATACTACCATGCCCACTAAACTATATTGCAAAGTGCCACATCTACTTGTTTTCTGGACACTTCCAAAGATGGTGACTCCACCACTTCCCCGGGGAGCCCATTCCAATGTTTAGCCACTCTTTCAGTGAATATACTTTTCCTGATATCCAACTTGAACTTCCCCTGGTGCAATTTGAAGTAATTTCTTCTTGATCTATTCTATTTGTTATCTGGAAGAAGAGACTGACCTCCACCTTGCCACAACTTCCTTCCAGAGAGTTGTAGAGAGCAATAAGGTTACTCCTGAGCATTCTTTTCTCCAGGCTAAACACCCCCAGCTCCCTCAGCTGCTCCTCCCAGGCCTTGTGCTCCAGACCCTTCCCCATCTCTGTTGCCCTTCTCTGGACACCCTCCAGCACCTCAATGTCCTTCTTGTATTGAGCATCCCAAAACTGAATACAGGATTTGAGGTATGGCCTCACCAGCGCTGCACACAGGGGGATGATCCCCTTCCCGGCCCTGCTGGCCACACTCTTCCTAATACAAGTCAGGGTATAATTTTCCCTCTTGGCCACCTGGGCACACCTGGCTCACATTCAGTCACTGTCAACCAGCACCCCCAGGTTCTTTCCTGCTGGGCAGTTTTCAGTCACTCTTCCCCAGTCTGCAGCACAACATGGTGCTGTTGCGACCCTGCTGCCAACAGGACCGAGCACCTTGTTGAACCTCATACCATTGGCCTTGGCTCATCAATCCAACCTGTCCAGACTCCTCTGCAGAGCCTTCCTACCCTGCAGCAGATCAACACTTCTGCCCAGCTTGGTGTCATCTGCAAACTGACTAAAGGGGAGCCCTTCACCCCCTCATCTAGATTATCAACAGATATTAAACAGATCTGGCCCCTATACTGAGCCTTGTGACACACCACTGGTGACGGGCTGCCAACTGGATTTAGCTCAAATCACTGCAACTCTTTGGGCTTGGCCATCCAGCCAGTGTTCTACCTGGCAAAGAGTACACACATCCACGCCATGGGCTGCCGGTTTCTCCAGGACAATGCTGTGGTAGATAGTGTTAAAGGTTTTACTAAAGATTAAGTAGGCAACATCCACATCCTTTCCCTCATCCACTAAGTGGTCACCCTCTCAAAGAAGGAGATCGGGCTGGTCAAGAGAACCAACCTTTCCTAAACCCATGCTGGCTGGGCTTGATCCCTTTGTTGCTCTGCACCTGCCATGTGATGGCACTCAAGGTGACCTGTGCCATGACCTTTTGTGGCACCGTGGTCAGGCTGAAAGGGCTGTAGTTCCCCAGATATTCCTTCCAGCCCTTTTTGGAGATGAGTTTCACACTGGTGTGAAAAACAAGATTCACTTTTCTTAATAAATTATAAAAAAAAATTAATATAAACAAAAAGACAATTAGGAGACAAAGGAAACAAAGCAAAGGGTTAAAACGGGTGGGTGCCCCTGGCGCGTTGCCAGGAACACACCTGATATCTTTGGAACATTCTTTTTATCCCCTCCTGCTGTGAGGGTTTAATGCATATTCAAACTTTTCTAAGAAGCATTTTGCATGGTTACGCCCTGAACCTGCCTCTTCAGAGCACGCTTCCTATGGTTTTTATTTTTGCTGATCATCATTTTATTTGAATTTGATTTCCTTTCTTTGCAAGTGGCCAGTGCTGATAACAGTCTGGGCCCCTTGTCCTGCCACCGGTGACAGCTGGGCTTCACGTCCTTCCGCTGCCAACGGCGTGGTCCTGGCTGTTGATAACAGCCTGGTCTCGTTGTCCTTCTGCTGATAACAGCTTGGGCCCCACTGTCTTTGCCCTCTGGGGTTTCCGTGCTTTGTACCACGAAATTCCTTTAAGCTTAAAACTTGTTAGCAAGAGAAAAAGTACATACATAGCCGAAAAGTATTTAATATATAACATTCATCCTAATACTTGCAAAAGCCAATATCACAATATGGATTTATAACGCTGGCTAACCTCCAGTCACCTGGGACCTCCCTGGCTAGCCAGGACTGCTGGTAAATGATGGAGAGTGGCTTGGCAAGCTCTTCCTCCAGTTTTCTCAGTGTTCTTGGGTGGATCTCATCCAGCCCCACAGACTTGGGAGTGTCTAAATGACACAGCTGGTCATTAACTACGTCCTCCTGGATTATGGGGGGGTTATTCTGCTCCCTGTCTTTGTCTTCCAGCTCAGGGGTGCGGGTACCCTGGGGACATCTGGTCTTTCTGTCAGAGACTGAGGCAAAGAAGGCATTAAGTAGCTCAGCCTCATTCTTGTTGCCAATATTCCCCTGCCAAGTCAAATAAAGGATGGAGATTCTCCTTGACCCTCTTTTTTGTTATTAATGTTTTTGTTAATTTTGATGGTAGTAGCTGGATTGAGTTCTAGCTGGGCTTCCTCCTTTCTAATTTTCTCTCTGCATGACTAAACTATGTATCTGTACTCTTACTGGCCACATCTTGCTGCTGAGTACAAAAAAAAACCAGGTTTGCTTCTTTGTAAATAAACAAAATATTAAGTAATATACAGTGTTTTTCTGTCCTTTGGGGTGAGGGGAAATGATTAACAACTTTTCTAAATAGGGAACTAGGTAAAGTTTTGCTCCAACTAATATACCTTTAGCTCTCCTTCCTACTCCCTGCCCCAAGGGACTCCGACACCTAAAAAAAGAAAGCAGACTTAGAGGTGATCCTGTTGCAAGCTCCTGAGGACTGTCCTGCTGGCTCAGTATTTTTCCAACCCCCCCACCCCTCCTTTTTTGTGAAAATGTTGACAGCTTTGGAGCTGGCAAGCTGTTAGCACTGCTTTCGCAGCCATGCTGGGTGTGAATTTGTGACACACTGCGGCAGGAAGTGCTCAGCGTCAGATCTGGCGATAACCGGACCTTTCTTCCAGGAAGACGAGATCATGTGGTCCTGTATCTGAGTAACACAGGTTGTGAATGCCAGAGTCATAACACTCTCAGTGATTTGGGGACCTTTCGCTGCTGGGTTCCCAACAGCCCTTTGGAAATGTCACATGGGGAGCAGTCAGTCCGCTCTCAAGCCCATGAGAACACGGTGTTGTGGTTCGCAAACCCGCAGAAACACGCTACGACCGTGTCCGTCAGTACCAGCGGCAAACCGAAGCTGAAAAACAGCACTATGTGGAAAATATTGGTGTGGAAAATATCAAGCTAACAGCCACAGGCACGAGTCCTCTCTTTATCTTAAGCCTAGAGACAGCAAAGATAGCTGTCGCATCTCTCATCTCCTTTCCAAGATACCTTCTTCATAAATAGATATCACTCTCAGCCTCCTCCCACATCTCTTCCTCTTTTTTTTTTTACGGTGGAGAAACAGAAAACAAGGGTACTTGCAGTAAAATATTCCTCTGAAGTCAGATCTGATCAAGGGTTTGGGTCCTTGGTTTATTCAAAAGCCTGTGGTAATAGATGTGGTATATTTGCTTAGATAGATCAGATTGAGCTTCTGCATTTTTTGTTCTGCTGAAAACACCAGAGAACGAAAATTCTTCTTTTCAGGAAAATTTAAATCAAAAAAGTAAGGTCTTAGGCACTGAGAAGTACCTTTAGATGGGTTCTGACCCACTGTGGCAAGCCCCTCATACTGTAAACTCAGGAAAGCTACATATGAGCCTAAAGATGCAGCTTGTCCCTCATTATCTGTGGAAATTCTGGTTCAAAGTAACTTTTAAAAGTGAAATCAGGTCTCAGATCTCTTGAGCAGTTCTGAAAGCATTCCCAGTAAAATATTACAGATTTCTACCTACATTTAATGTTTATCTACTAGAATTCACCATGAGGCAACTACAGTAATGGCTTTGGTCTTCATGCAGTCCCAGACTAAACCTGGTCTAGTGGCAGAGATGAAAAATATCTATCCCAGCCCAGCTGCCAAAATGAGCCCAAGTGAGCCCTGGCCCAAATGAGCTCAACCCCAGCTGGATGTCACTGGCTGGAGCTCAGCCCTGGGTCAGGAGTCACCCATTTATTGACAGAATAACTCTGTTTACTCTGCTCTAGCTGTCTCTGCTTTCTGTGATAAACAAAGGGGTACATACAGACCCGCAGGACTGTTAGCAGAAGGTCGTGTGGGAGAAGTAGCAGAGGAGGACCAGGGCTGGAAGAAAAGCAGATGCTGCAGGGAGGTGTGAGTGGCGGTGCAGCAGAGTGTGGGGAGCCCAGTGTCAGGAGACTGGGCAGCGAGAAGCGCAAGAAGGCAAGAGGGGGTCTCTGAGGTTGGCGCTGAGTGGCACTGTGCTTTGCTTTCATCTGCATGAGCACTGTGGTAACCAGATGGGCTCTCTGCTGCTGTATTCCCTCCTTCCAGCCATCTACCCCTGCCAGCCAGCATCTGCTCCATCCCCGTGCTGGGGAGCGCACACCGATGGGACCAAAGGGTGGCTAAGAAATACAGCAGTTGCTCAGCAACTCCCTGTCCCCCGAGGAGAACAGCGTAAGCGATCTGCACCAGCCTCCTGGACTGCTCTTCTCTGCACAGCTAGAGGTGCTCCTACCTTGACTTTTCTCTGGACTTCCCCTGCTCAGCCTGCAGATCTTCTCCTGCTTTAAGCCTCCAAACCCTCCATTTCAAAAAAGAAGCCATTGTGCAGGGTGCGCTGACCCACTGCAGCAGGATGGTGCAGGACAAAGGCCAAGCTGAAGGGACATGGCACCAGGTTATTGATCATTGAGGAGACCTTGAGCTAGGTAAATAGATGTCCTGCTTCCTCCCCCACTCCCTGCAGGTGTGAGTTGGGGTGTGGGCCAGGTCTCACAGGCAGCAGCAGGCTTTAGAGGTAGGTCTGCAGCTCTGGGGGAAACCCCAGTGCCTGCCATCAAATCTACTAACAAAGAGGCTCTTCTGCTGCTCCCTGCCCTCTCTCCCCTGCCCCTCCATCTGTGGCTGTGTGCTTATGCCTGCTGCTTCTGAAGGGATGCTATGGTAGCAGAGAAGTTCCCTTGCTCTCCTGGGCTACCCAACTTGGCTCCTTGGGGAGGAGATCCTTCCCAGGGGTTGCTCAGAAAGGTGCCCCAGAAGGAGCAAGGGAGGGCAGCCTGTGCTGGGCCTGTTTGTACTGCCTGCCTCTCTGGAAGGGTGTGTTAGAGCAAGTGGATGTGTGACTGCTTGTCCGAGCGTGGGCATTCACCAGGCTGGCTTTAATGTTCTGGAGTGAGTTACCTGGTGCTTACATTCTGCAAATGTAATGTTGCAAGGCAGCCTGGAGGGCTTGGGGCTCCATAACTCGGGGGAGCAGGCTGAAAAGCCCACTCACCCTTATCAAGTGATGCTCAGTGGCATCCACACGGGCTTAAAATGTGCATGAGGCCAGCCACCTCTTCCCTCAGCTGTAGCAAGTCCCTCCCATGCACTCCTCTGTCCATGTTCACATGCACCACTGGGAACAAAGATGACTCACGGACACACAGACAGGACCACAAGCGTTCCACAAGACCTCTGTGTTTTCTTGTGCAGATGCATTCACATGCCTTTGCTCTCCAACTGCAGAAACACAGAAAAAACTTTCAGGACAGGCATGCACTACGTGGTGGCAGAGGAAAGGAGGAGGAAAGTGGGTGACAAAGCCAGGGTTAATGTGTCTCTCTTGGGCGACGGTATTTCTTACCCAGAGCATGGGGCTGACAGAAGGGAAGCAGCCAGGAAGAAGCAAATGAAGCAGATTTGGGGAAGACAAGGGGCAAAGGAAGACAGAAGGTGTCTCCTGGCACAAGCAGGTGGTGGTGAAGGGCTGAACACTACTCAGGTGCTCTCTTCTCATTAGCTCAGCTATTGAGCCAGTGCCAGCATTGGCTTTGCCTGGGAACACACGGCCTGGTGGGAATGGCAATGTTTGCTTACTTTTAGGGATCAAGATAAAAATGGCACAGCAGGCAAAGTGTAACTTCAGGTTCCCAGGCAGTGGCTGCTTTGTGCAACTTCTGCTCACATTTCAGGTCACTGATTTTCTTCTGCATTGATCTAGATCAATAAAATACCAGCTTTAAAACAATTCCCAGCCTGGGAGGACAACACTTTTGTATTCAGAGAAATTAGTTATTGTACTAATTTGCAGTTTCGACAGAAGCAAACCAGGGAATGCCTTTGAAAACCAAGGGATTTCCAGGAGATGTAGACAAAACAGTGTCCTAGAAGCCTGTCTCCCATTAATTTAGCAGTTTTATCCACATTTGCTTTGAGCAATCCCTTTGATGATTTGCACAGCAATCTCTTGGGGCCATAGATCTTGGGAGAGAGGAAGACAGATTTGGTATAACACCTTCAGAGAGGGTGTAAAGGGAAACAGAAAAACCAACCTGACCCTGGCATGCTGTGTCACCATAGGACCCTGATGGAGGCCGAGGAACAGGAGGAAGACTCCAGCTCCCTCTCAAATGACAAATCAGAGACTAACTCACGCCACTGCCTCCGCTACGTGCCCCTTGGGATAGCCTTTCTTGTGCTGGCTGGAGCTGCTGCAGCAACCTGGTATTTCCTAGGTAAAAATTCACGTGTTTTCCCCCCAGCAGGAGGTGGGGGGTGGGTAGACAAAGCAATGCCCAGCCCAAAGCACATTAGTGACTCTGGGTGGTCTTTAGACAGTCATACACAGGGGTAACCCCCTCTTTCCTACATGTTGCTAAGTGTCTTCTCTCGGCAGACTACAGACCATGGCACCTGGAGCCATCCATCCTGCAGTTTTACTGTGGCAGCCTCCAGGTCCTCAACCGCCGGTACTCCCCGGACCTTGGGCAGGTGGAGTCCAGAGCCTTCTGGGTGGAGTCAGCTAAGCTCCAGAACATGGTGAGGGCAGTTCCATGAACAGAGCCAGCCCTGAGGCTGCTCAGGGAGTAGAATGAGGAAGGGGTCAGGCACCCCCATGCAAGGGCAGGCTTGGTGGGCCTGCACAGCACGAGGGATGAAAGATCGGATCAGGCACCGCAACATTGCACTGTAATTATCAGACAACGTTCTCGTTGCAGCTGAAGGAACTGATTCGTGCCACAGAGCTGGGTCGGTACTACAACTCGAGCACGGTGTATGCCTTTGGGTGAGTAGCACCTGCAGCATATTTGCTTGCTCCTGTGTAAAGCTTCCAGTAAATTGTACTCTGGTTTCACTGAAATCTGCCCATGACAAACTTCTGCAGTCCCTGCCATGACCTCCAGACTAGGCTGGACAGTCCAGATTCAGACTGGTTCCAGCATAACAGAGCTGGGGATATTTTGATGTTTCTGTTGATCCCAGGTCATGATGAAAAGCCAAAACTGAGACATTTTTCAGAGAGGCAAAAGTTCAAGAGAGTAAAAAAAAAAAAAAAAAATCATTGGGAAGAGATTAAAAAAAAATTGTCTTGGCATTGTCAGTAGAAACTAAGCAGCTGGAAATAAATTTTTCTAATTCAAGAAAGCAATTTTATGGCCTGACTCTAGGCACCAGAAGGGAGAGGCCAGAATGCACCATGGAAAAGTTATTCCCGCCAAGAAGCCTGGACCACCTGGGAACAGGATAACAGTGGAATGGGACAGATGTGGGACTACAGCTTTGCAGGTCTTAACAGTAGAAGAGGATAGCAGAAATAATTTCCAGACTGATGGTCATTTGCTTCTGATTTTTTTTCCTATGGAAAACCACACCCCAAATTTGTCTTTCATCTAAGGAACATTCCAGATTGGATGTAACTCCATTTTCAACTGGGGAAAGAAATGTTTGTCTTGCACATCTTTCTCTAGCCTTTTACTGAACAATGATATGTTTCAACATCTCCTTGCCCTCTCCCAGCCAGTTTTTTCTAGCAGCTGGTTGAACAGAACTTTCCCAGGCACAGCCTCCTGCAGCTTTAATGGGCTGTGGTAAGGTACCTGGTCATAAATCATCCATTTGTCACCACTGGGAGATGAGACTGAGCTTCTCTTTTCAACTCCTGGTCAGTAGTACCCAAAGGTCATTTCTACTTGAAATGAGACTACTCATTAGACTAGTCTTGATTAATTATCACATTAATTTGAGCTCATATGGTCATCACTAGAGCAGATGGCATGGAAAGGCTTCTTCCCACAAAGCACGGAGCACTGACTCACACCATGGATATTACAACTCCCCTGCCTCACTCAGAGAGGTTCCTCTGGGTCACAGCAGCAGAGCTGGAAAATCTACACAGATATGTCTGATTTGTGGAAAAATAGTGGGGAGGGTAATTCCCCAGGGTTTGTCTCTCCGGTAATTCTGGAGATGAAGAGCAAGAATATTTTACATGCTATTTCTCTGTTAGGGAGGGAGCTCTGACCTTCTTCTTCTGGTTCACCCTCCAAATCCCTGAGAGTCAGCAGAAGGAGGCAACTGCTGAGAGGGTAAACACAGTGCTCCACCAAGAGCTCTCCACCAGCTTCAACAGCTCGGGCAGCCTGTCCTACCAGACAGAGTACAGGATCAACCCCGACTCTCTGGTTCTCCTGGGTAAGTACGAGCTGCTCAGCTGTGGCCCAAGTAGTCAGAAATGCTCCATGATGTAGAAGGTTAGGAAAAAAGGCCAAGAGTCTATTGAAGGAGACAGAGGAAACCTGAAGAGGATGAGGAAGGTAGTAAGGATCAGGAGATACAATTATGCACATTTTTTCCCTGATAGAGAAGAACTGAAGTTTGATTTAAAAAAAAAAATAAAAAAATCCTTCCTTTGAAGGATTAAAATTATTGGAGATATACCTGACCACAATCAGATAAGCGATTCTTTTTTCACCCATCAGCTTTGGCTCCTGTAGAGCAAAATCTTAGACATGACTTAGATCAGCTCAGCTTGAAAATACCAAGCCCTTAGGTTTCCTACTTTCCTTTGGGAGATTATTCCAGACTATTTGATAGAGAGAAAAAAAACAACATATCTGAGTCACCACTAAGTCTTCCTCTGAGACAAAGCATCATTGTCACTTTGGTTCCTGACATGATTTTAAGGATTATTTATTGTTGCTCACAGAGAAGGTCACAGCCCGTTTAAAAAGCCACCCATACAAAACTGCTCTAAAGTAGGTGTTAGGTAAGGGACTAGGGACATATATATATAGTCAGTGCATACAGGTCCAGTGGAATTTATGTTTGATCTTTTTAATGAGGCTTAACTTGTCAGCCTAGTCTGATCCCCCTTACAGAGTCCCAAATCTCACAGGTGTTAAAATACACTCTGTTTCTTCTCTCCTCTTGGGACTCCTATTTCCAAGTTTCTTTTTCCCATGAGATGTTACATCTCCAAGTTGTTAGCTTTTTCTTTTTCCCTAGGCATGCTATCTTGCATTATTCCAAGATGAAACTTCTTTCATTATATCCTACCCATACTTTCTTTAACTTTTACCCCCAAATCCCAGTTGTTTTGTGGGTCATTTTTTGATGCCTGTAAAGAAAATTCAATTTCCTCTAAAGTACTTTCACTCCCTCATCCAGATCATAATTGTAAGGTCTTAGTCAAAAGCTGTATTAGCATCTCATCAAGACATCTCCTCCCACAGTCACCATTAGTTCCTTACTTCTACTTATGATTTGCTTCCAGCATGCCAGACCCTACGCTCAGCCAATTTAAATGAACTTTGTTAAGAAAGATATCACAAGGAAATGTACTAAATCCTTCCAAGTCTGTCCATCTAGCATTTTCCTTTTATTTGTTCACTTCATAATGCAACTCATAAACAAATAAAAATGATGGTGCCATAATTTTAGCTGTTCCCAGTTCCCTCTTATTTGCTTTGCATCTGTTTCACTGTTCTATTCATTTCAGCAGACCACACTTCTTTCTATTTTGGGCTTAAAACATCAGTTGTAGTTTATCCAGATCCTTCTGCTTTCCCTAGACCTTTCCCCCTCCAGTCAGAAGTCCAGTCTGATAACTGAGACAAAAGCCAGAAATTACTTATACTGCTGAGCCAGGGTGACCGCCAGCCAGTGACTTAACCTCTGGTTTCATTTGCCCTGTACAGTTAGAGTGGAAAAACAGCCAGCTGATAGCAGGTCACTAGCACTTCATTGCTTCCTCACAGACTCTTGCTGGCCTGCTCAGCTCTAAATTTCACTCTGCCTTGAGACACAGTGCTGCAAGCCATTGCCTAGTACAGGAACCTCTCCAACATCTCCAGTGCTTTATTTGTACTTACAGCCACACTCACCCCAGTACACTGGCTTCCCCCTTCCCCAAAAATCTTTTGGGACTTCCTGTTCCCTACAGGAACTCTGTTTTATTACCTTCAGATAGAAGAGTACTTACTACCAGCTCTGCACGGACTACTCTCTATAACACATGAGCTTGCCTAGGAGCCTGTCTCATGCCTGCAGGATACTATTTTCCACAACAACTGTTTTTGCTATGACAAAACCACTCATCTGTCCCCACAGATTTGCTTAGAAGCTACAGAAGACCAAAGCCCTGACCTAGGCAAGCCCCCAACAACAATCCTCACACCCAGTTGACCTCACAATGCCTTTTATTTTGGCAATTATTCCCAGTAGCACCTGATCTCTGGCTGATTCCGATTCAGCTGGAAGGCTGGAGAAAAGCCCAGCTCTCTTAAAGTGTTATCCACCCTGTGACTGTTTTGCACAGATCTGTAGCCCCTGCTGGTCACTTTCTCTGCAGCTCCCTCCTCTAAAGGTGGACTCTATAAGGATGTTGAGTAGCTCATCACACAGGGGTCATCAAGAGAGAACTCCTTCTCCACCCTCAGTGACTCCCATATTTTTGATTGGGCATTTTTTGTGGTGGGACAGCAGATGGTGAAGGCTCTGGGAAGTGGGGTTGTGCCCTGAGATGTGGCTGGCAGAGGAGGGAGATGACTGCCTGAAGCAATGCCCAGCCCTCCTGGGAAGGGGAAGAAGTCCTGGTACAGCACACACCAAAATGGGCAAGGAAAAAAGGCAAAGAAGCCCCTGATGGGCTGGAAAGCAAGAATTAGGGCTGTTGGATTTGGGTCAGGGGCAGACAAATAACCCAGAGAGATGGGTTGGGGAAGGCATGACTGAAACAGGTCCCTGAGAACAGACAGAGAGGTACCTGAAGGATGCCCCATGCTGATGTTGTGAGCTAGTTACATGAGTGTCCTGGAGTCCATTCAAAAGTTTTCTCCCAAATTTGCTATTTTAAACTACAAAGTTTTTTACAAATATTTACAAATTTAAACTAAGTCAATAAGGAAGGAAGGGAGTCCTCATCTACTATGCTAGGTTATCAGATTATCTTTTTTATCCAGTTTATATTTTTGTTTATCTTCTGTTATATATATTTTCTTTCTAACAGAATCCAGCGTGAAAGACATAGTAGTGCTGAAATCCACTCTGGGTAGGCTACCTTCTCCTTTCCTTTTGAGTTCATGACTTTATGGGAGCGATTTTCACAGGGGACAGAAAACTTGTTGGCCTCCTGGAGCTGTAAATCCTGGGAAGGGGAGAGTAGGAGCAAGGGAGCACCAGTGCTGCTGCTTGGCCAGATCCAAACTACATGACAGCTATGTACTGGATGGCTCTAGGCAGAGATGTCAGCTGCCAGGGGCAATGCAGCCACCTCAGACTTGTCCTGGTCCTAATGAGAACTGTGAAATAGCTGGGTGTACTGGTACCAGTGCAGATGCAATGCTGCTGAGTGGGGTGGGGGTTTCCTGCATGGCTCTGCACTGGATGTGCCTCATTTAGGAGTGTGTTGTCTTGGCAATGTTTGAAGATGCTTTTACTGATTTCAGGCAGTGTTTTAAGTTCTCTGTCTGGCAGCTTGTATTAGATGTGCTATTAGAAGCTCATCTTTAAACTGATATTTACTCAAAAATCCTGGTGTGAAAGTCTTCTGAAACCTGGAATTCAGATGAGAGAGATCTAAAGCCAGGAAGAGTATGGGGCTGAGAGGAGAAAGAGGTGAAAAAGTAAATAAAGCCAGTAGAAGATAACTGTGCTGTGCTGATATTTAAAGCCTGAGGTAGTATTAGGTTAACCAAGAAACAGGGGACAGCTCTTAGAGAAACTGGGGCAATGGTACAAAAGGATCAATGCCACCACAACACACGTAAAAGTAAACCGAGATCACTGGGATGAGTCAGCCTTACCCTAAAAAAGGGCTTACACTGATGTACCAAGTGACAATCCCATGTCTTAATTTCTCTTACAACCACGTCTATTTCAGGTTGCTACAGGTACAGCTATGTCCAGGACGATGACATCCTTAGGCTGGAGGGCCCTGACTACCTGGCCTCCAGTTGTCTTTGGCACCTCCATGGCCTCAAGGGCTACATGATCAAGCTACGCCTGGAGTGGACTCTGCCTGACTGCAGGGACCGCCTGGCAATGTACGACGCAGCTGGGCCCCTGGAGAAACACCTCATCACCTCGTAGGTAGCTCCTGAGCAGGGAGGACACGGTGGGGAAGACAGGCAGGATGGCACAACACGCCACAGCAGGGGAAGGTGTCAGACGACATCAGAGGAGGTTCTCCTTGATGTACAACCTGCCTGCGTCAGCTGAAGTCACTGATGTGGGATATCTCACACCACTGTGCTTCAGGAGCTGTCGCTCTTGGCCCTTTGTTTGGTTCAGTTAGTGCCTTACAACTGCTGTGTGTGCATCACACAGATATCCATTGTCTTTCTCATTCTCCTCTTTCATTTGTTTGTTGCTTGCCTCACTCCTATACTTTCATCTCTTTCCCCTGAGGATCTACGGCTGCAGCCGGCAGGAGCCCATTGTGGAAGTCCTTTCATCTGGCCCTGTCATGTCCATTGTGTGGAAGAAAGCCATGTACAGCTACTATGACCCCTTCATCCTCTCAGCCCAGGCAGTGCCCCTCGAAGGTGAGGAAGGCTGGAGGAGAGTTGCTATAGTTAGAGGGAGAAGACGGGTTTTCTCCTACAGCATCACAGCTCCTAGAGATCCTGTATGCCTGTTAGGGGCAGAATTCATTCTGAATTGCAAGGGTGGTCGGTAAAAGGCAGGTTACATGGCCTCCCCAGGCTGAGGCTGAGCTGACAGAGAGCAGGGCTTCGAAAATCTGTATTTGCAGCTTGTGAGGTGAACATAACTCTGCGGGAGAGCCTGGAGCTGCAGGGGAAGATCGGCACCCCACACTACCCCAGCTACTACTCGCCCAACACGCAGTGCACCTGGCACATGATGGTAAGAGCCAGCTCCCACAGGAGCATCCACCCTGTCCCCAAAACGCAGGCAGCACTCCGCACATTGCAAGGGGTACAGCCAGGGCTCTCAGTCTGATCTCCATGAGATGCAAGGGTGACAGCCTGCCCAGCCTCCACATCAGGTGTGTTTCTGAGGGGGAAGAACTCTAATATTGCATACCAGCACGGAGATGCTGAGGAGGAATCCGAAATCTGATCTCCAGAGGAGTTCTTCAAAACAGAACCAGATTTACAGGAATTGATAAGAACTGCCAGGCTTTGACACCAGCAGCAGAGCCACACAGGGCTGTGGCATGGCTCCAGTTTAGAGGGTGCTTCTTTCTGACCTGCAGTGTGGCCGGACATGTCTGGCCTTCACATTTGCTCTGCTCATTTCTGATCTATAGAGTGTGCTGTAACACTCCTAGGAGCCATCTGCCCTCTACTCTGCACCCCCTTGTCTGCAGGTCCCATCCCTCGACTATGGGGTCACCCTCTGGTTCGATGCCTACGCACTCAGCAGACAGAAGCATGACCTGCCCTGTACCCAAGGCCAATGGATAATTCAGAACAGAAGGTGTGTGGTGGGGTGCTGGTTTCTGTCTCTCACTTCCCACCCGGGATAAAACTGGGATTAAACCTCTGCAGGCCTCTGCTCGCTTCAGCCACCATATGTGAGGAAGAAGAGCCATATGCTGTGGTCACTCTTTGTGCTGGTGTCTCCTGCTTTTCTGCTCATCTTGTTCACTCTCTCCCCAGTGAACACATTTCTCACAGATTTGCTTTGAGCTACCAACCTGCTTTCTCTCTCTTGCTGTTTGCATCAGGCTTCTTAGTTTTCTCCTGTGTGTGTAACCTTGGTGTCCTCCCACGTCTCCAGTGTTTGCAAATCTGCCTGTCACCACCTCTGCAATATTATCTCTGTGTGCCATTGCCTTGAATCCACCTCCATACAGATCTTCCCCTTAGCTCCATATCCTCCTGCTTTGACTGCAGCCACTTTCCCTGCAGGACTTCCCACAATTAGCACCCATATGTTGCTGGGGCTACTGCTCACCACTGCCTCAGTGCGAAGGATGGAGACCTGTTGTGCTCCCATCTCCTCAGAGCAGGCTCTGAGATAGATGGACCTACAGCTTTTGGTTTTCCTCTCACTTAATGCAAAATTGCCTGTTTCCCTCCAAAACCTCCCCCCACCCACCTCATTAGTGCCTTCTCCATGGTTCCTGTAGAGGTAACTTGTCTTCCTATGAAGGATCTGATCCAGAACTTATGTTACCCTGGCTTTGGATTTCCACTTTTTCTCTCCCTGCCTTCCTCTCTTAAACTGTCAGTGCCACAATTTCTACAACATGGCTTCTTTGGGAAGATGATGAAGGAGAATCTTCTTTCACTGTAAGAACTGAACTGTGCTGCATGGCCTGGTCTCAGTGCTGGCCAGAAAGTGGGACATGTACAAAGATAGGAGGGTCCCTCTGGACTCTGTATCTCATGCATACTGAAGGCATTTTGTATTCCTGGTTTGCCTGCAGCACCCAGTCTGTGTGACCCCTTTCCCACCCCAGCCCCACTGAGCCCCCTTGCCCTGCTTTGTCTCCTGCCTCCCTGTCCAATCCACCTCGCCTGTGTTTGCCCCTCAGGTTGTGTGGCCTGCGGACCCTGCAAGCCTACGCTGAGAGGATCCCAGTCACATCTTCTGCTGACATCACCATCACCTTCACCTCCCAGATCTCCTTAACCGGCCCTGGTGTACAGGCAGCTTACAGCCTGTACAAGCAATCTGACCGTAAGCTCAGGTTCTTCCCTGCTCCTTAGTGGGGGGACCAGCAGCCCCTCTGCACTTGGCTTGTGCTGGGAGAAGCACAAGGCATGGCCTGGGAGCCCTAGGTGCCATCCAGCCTTCAGGAAAATTCTCACAAATCAGTGATGCACCAGTGATGCCCCTAAAAGAGGAGGCAATTATGTGCAAAGCTGCTCCTGCACATCTGGCCCAGCCTCTTGTGGCCAGAGCCTCCATGCAACAAAACCCAAGGGCATAAAATTGCCTAAAACCTTACCCTCATGGCAGCATCACAAACTGGCCTTGGGAATTCAATGAGAAAGCACCTTGGCTTGATGCAACACTTGTTTTGATTACAAGATCTCTTAGAGAGAGCTGTTTCCTGCTCACCTTGGAATCCGTGCAAACAAGAGATAAATAAAACTGCACACAAATACACACATATGCAAATGCCGCCCACAGTCTGTCTTTCCAAGGTTTCACCATCTCCCTCCTAAAGGGTGCCAGTAATGCACACCAGTCCCTGAATATGTGCACTTGTCAACGTGTCTAACAAGAACCCCTTCAAGGTCCTACGTAAGTTTTGGCAACAACTCCAAAGAGCCTGTTTCAGCTTTCCCATGGTGTTCAGGAAACATGAAACAGCAATGATTATGACGTATGGAGTGCCAGACAGGTCCTAGATGGTGCCCATTGTACAATGCAAAACAGGGAAACCCTCTTTCCCCTGGTGCATAGCCTGGCTCCATATGCCCGTGTTAAGAGCAGATTACATGGCAGATTTTGGGGGGTGCAGTGAGTGCTGCCAGCACACTGCAGCAGTGCTTGTGTGGTCAGGAGAGTGTGCAGTTCCACCTTTTCAAGCCATGGTGCTCTGCTGCCAGGAGGTTTCCAGTCATCGGGACTAATTACTCTCTTTTGGTTTCACAGCCTGTCCTGGGGAGTTTCTGTGTTTGGTGAACGGTTTGTGTGTCCCAGCCTGTGACGGGATCAAAGATTGCCCCAATGGGCTGGATGAGAGAAACTGTGGTGAGTGATTTCTTCTCCCCACTGGTCCCTGGTCTCAGCAAGACACAGCCCCTCACTCCTCTGAAGGTAGATGGAGAGGATTTGGTCGGCCAAGGCACAGCCTTGTTCCTCAACTTCAGAAGCTTAAACCTCTGTGCCCTTTGAAGTCTCATCCCACTGCTGTAGGGCTTCAGCCTGCTCTGGAAAGAGCAGTAATGCTTCTGGCACCTGTCACAGCACAGCCTTCCTGGGACAGTCCCCTAGTAGCTAAAAGCACCAAGAGTTCCAAGCAGCCTGAAAGAAAACCCCTACCAAGCTGCCCCCACCTTGCCCTGTTTTCCTCCCACCCAGGGTCTGCAACCAACCTCAGCCCTGGCCTACAGCCCCCTCTGCTGTCACACCACTCAGCATCCCCCTCACTTCCCCAAGCCCACCCACTGACCTTCTCTCTCCTCTTCCCCCCAGGCCATTTGTACACTTCATCTGTACAGATCCTCACTCATGCATTTTGCCCCAGTTTGTGAGCATCAAAGTCCATGATCAGCCTCAATCTGTTCTTCATGCCAAAAGCAGTTAGTGCTGATGCAGGCTCCATCCTTACCATCTCAGAACCCCTGCAGAGCCCCATTCTCATAGGAACAACAATTCAGGCTTAGACATGACACCTAATTCATCTATTCTCTCATCTCTGGTGTGATTTGGGGCTCATCATATTGCTGCCACCACTAACTTTTCATTAGTTGTTTCCTACAGATGTTTTTTTAACACGTAAAGAACCCTGAACCACTAGAGAGAGTGGCCAATTTTGAAAGATTCAGAGGAAGGTACAGGAAAAGTCTAAAGTCAAAGAAAGGAGGAATCTTTCTATGGAAGCTTAAATTCAGTGCTAGAAATGTGAGAGCTCACATAAGACTGCCCAAGTAGGGTTTTGCTTTGTCTGTAGTGTTGCTGACAATGTCCTCTGTCCCATCATCCAGCTGTCTTACATCAGGGTTTGCATGCTTCCCTCCTGTAGACATGGACACATTAGAATCCTTATGAATATCTAATCCTTTCTTGAATCCCTACATCTCCTTGGCCCCAGGGGTATCATGTCATTCAGTTTCACAGGCTGACACAGACCAAGACTGACAGAAAACCCCACGCTTTCTCAGTGTTTTCCAAAATTGCTTTATATTTGAAAAAGAAGAGAAACATTATTATTTCCTTCCTTTCTTATACTCTTGCCACTAGTGTATCTCTGATTATTCATTCTGTGTTGGTACAATCCCTGTCTTTAAAATCAAAGTTCAAGTTGCCTCAGACCTTCATGTGCCTTTAGTCATCTAGAAGTTTCTAGGTGCTATTAATGAAGAAATTATAGTCACTGCAGTAGGAAAATGGTACACACAAACACAGTAAGTTCCTGATATGAAAATCTGTGAACAGAAGTCAAACTCTTTGTTGGACAGGCAGCTTAGACCCATCTCCATCCTCCAGTGTCCACCAGAACTCATGGACATTGCAGAATCCTTTGTTGTTCAGGACTCAGAGGCAAGGGGAAGTGCTGTTCTCTACAAAACAGTGACCCATGAGCTGGGGTTACATCAAGGCAGGCGGAACAGTGACCTCATCAGACAGAATGCAGTCCTACAAAACCCTAACAAGGCAAGCAGACCAGGACTGGTGGTGGTAAGTGAGGAGTCTTGGACCTCACAGCAAGTACATAGTGCTGAGGCGGGTCTGAGGAGGCCAAGACAAGAAAAGTTAAGTCAGCAACAGCAAAGTGTAAGACAGGGTGCAGGCACACCTACAATGCAGATGAGGAAAAAGCTGAACAGCTGCACTATACCAGAGTTGGTCTTAAGCACAGCTTATGAGGTGGGGGAAGAGGCTGTAGAGACTGCAGGACTTATGACCCTGTCCTCACACCTTGTCTTGCATGCCTGATTCCCATGAGCTTCCCTCCTGAGCAGTGTGCCCTGCAAAGTTCCAGTGCCGTGAGGACAGCACTTGCATTGAGTTCAGCAGGGTCTGCAACCAGAAGCTGGACTGTGTCAACGGGAGTGATGAAGAACACTGCAGTGGAGGTAGGGAGGAGACAATGCTGGGATGACAAACACCTACCCATGTGCTTGAACCAAGGCTGTCTGTAGAGTGCTTTCCACATGTGACATACGGGCACCATCTAACTTGCCCAGCCTCCTCACAATGTTTGTGAGCTGTTTGTTTGTTCAGGAAATTCCCTGTCATCATGGAATGATAAGGGGAACTTATGGAGTTCCCCTAAGCTCTCTGCTGCCCTTTCTCCTCATTTAAAGGCCTTCAGGCTGTATCTACAACCAGCTGCCCTCTCTCAGCTTTGGCTTTCCTTCCTTTTTGCAGGGGTCCTCTGCGGTCCTTTCACCTACCGCTGTGAAGATGGGACCTGTGTGAAGAAACCCAACCCCCTGTGTGACACCACTGCAGACTGCAAGGACCTGTCTGATGAGAATCACTGTGGTGAGGAAACAATCAGCCACACATCAGCCAGCCAGGTTCAGGATGACACGTAGCTGCAAGTTGCCCCGTTTTCTCCCACCAACCAGAATAAGCACCCACCCTCCCTTGTTCCACCACCTTCTCCCCACCTCAGTCCCACAGTACCAGTGGCCCTGCTCCATTCTGCAGTGGCAGGGACAGCAACAACTAGCTAGCTCTGTGCTGAGTGTGAGCAGGCACTTTCTCTTTGGACAGCTGCTCCCTGCCTCCTTCAGGCAGAGGCATCAGGCCAGACAGACATGTCTCACAGGCCAGGTTCAACCCGCAGGCTGCCTGTTTGACCACTCTGTCAGCTTACGTGCTGTTGTACAAGGCTCCAGCCAGGAAAATCACCCATGTCTGCATGGTAGGGAGAGAGTTTATGTTTTGATTTCCCTACTTGTTTTTTTTCTGGAGCCTCAGTAGGAACTGAAAGGCACAGCAGTTAGCACAGTCAGCATGTTTCCCCAAAGGCATCCCCAAGCTGCAGCTGAAGGTGAGGAATGCTGAGAGGGAGTGTTCACTAGACCTGTCCTGGGCAGTACATAAAGCCTAGGTAAGACAAGAAATTAGCGGTCAAACTCTTCAGTCAACTAAGTAGGAAAGGAAGGGCAGGCACAGTCTATCATGTTCCCTTTCTTCCCTGAAGTACCTGCTGTGTCTCCTCCTCAGACTGTGGAATGCAAGCCCCTCTCAGCAGGATTGTGGGTGGTATGAATTCTGTGGAAGGGGAATGGCCATGGCAGGCCAGCCTGCAAGTTCGGGGCCGCCACATCTGTGGGGGAACACTCATTGCTGACCGCTGGGTGGTCTCAGCTGCTCACTGCTTCCAGGATGAGAGGTAAATGGAGAGGGGAGGTGCTGGATAGAAAGATTAGCATTGCTTTCCATGTCATCCATGACTGGAGGCTTCTCTGACTGATGAAAATGTCATGGGGCAGCTGCACCCCTCCTCTGGCACCTCAGCCATGTTTGAGGTGAACATGAACTGAAGAAAGGGGTATGGATACGTGCAGTATTATCTGGGGGTGTGTGCAGGGGAAAAGGGGCAATCCTGGGATTCACAGAGCAGCTTTGAGGGGGCAGTGATAGCAGAAGATGCTGCACAGCTCCACCTTTGTTTTGGCTCTGTGTTGTCCCCACGCTGTCAGAACAATGCAGATGTCAGCATGTGCTAGGATGGGTGTAGCACTGCCAGCAAGGCGTGCCCTTTGGGTCCCATGCTCCTCTGCTGCATCCTACAGGCTGGCCTCCCCCTCCATCTGGACCGTGTACTTGGGCAAATACTTGCAAAATGCCACCGGCCATACAGAGGTGTCCTTCAAGGTCATCCATCTCTTCCTCCACCCTTATTACGAGGAGGACAGCCATGATTATGATGTGGCCCTGCTCCAGCTGGATCATCCAGTGATCATCTCGCCCTTAATCCAGCCCATCTGCTTGCCTGCTCCTTCTCACATCTTTGAGCCCGGCCTTCATTGCTGGATCACTGGCTGGGGAGCCCTGAAGGAAGGTGGTAGGTTCAAGGTCTCTTTGTGGCCTACTGCAGCAGTGCTGAGGCAGAAACATAGGGTCAGATGTGTCATAGGCAGAACAGACTTCTATTCATGCCAATTCCATCCATTCTCCTTCACTCCTGATTTTGGGTAATAGGTTGACCAAAGTTACTTGTCAAGTGCCCTGAAACCTCATGTGGAGAGGCAGGCATGGCAGTGTGGTAATCTGTATGGGGACAGCATGTGTTTCTTCGTCCAAAGACTAGAACAGCCCTTCAGGTCAGCTTAGTGCCTTCACCCACTCACAGACTTGTTCAAGCTGCTTCCTAATTGGAAACACTCAGCAGACTATACAGAACTGGATACTCCTGGTTTGTACTCTTAGACACAAGAGCTTAACATCTGTTTCAGTGAGAAACAAACCCAAAACTCTGACAACCCAGAGGTTTTCCCAGAGCAGAATACTTCTTGTCCCAAAAGCTGAAGTGCCCACAACATATCCCTGTAGGGAAAGGAATGAAGGGGAATTTTATGCCTTCCAAGCAGAAAAAGTGCTCAGATGAAAGTCAGAGACTGTAATGCCAGTGGAGAGCAGAACAGAAATTCCAATGGCAGGTTTCAGCATGAAGTGAGGTAGGCATGGGCTAGGGGAAGTTCCACCATAGCTCACCTGTGCTTTTTTGGTGCTCTGCTTTTCAGGGCACATCAGCAATGTTCTGCAGAAGGTGGACGTGCAGCTCATCCAGCAGAACATCTGCAGCGAGGCTTATCACTACATGATTACTCCCAGGATGCTGTGTGCTGGGTACTACCAGGGAAAGAAGGATGCCTGCCAGGTGAAAGAGGAGTTGTGGGATCAGGGTTGACTACCAGAGGTGGAATGCATCCCAAGTCTCACAAATGCAACCCACAGCCTGAAATGAGGGGGAAAAGACCATATAAGGTCACTTTCCCAACACTTCCTCTAAGTGGCCAACAGCTCTAATGACCACTTCTTCCCAGCATCCTTGCCTTAGACAGGATCCAAATACAGTTAAATTATCCTTTTCTCATTTCAGCCCATTCTCCACTCTACCTCCCACTTTCAAGTCAGGTGACTACATCAGTCTCTTACACCCTCAGCCTCTTTAGCACCTGTCATACACAGTAACCTGTCTCTTCCTCCACTGCTATCAATCTCAAGGAATTCCTCTCTGCCATCCCTCATGGGAACCATTGGAATTGTTAAATTCCAGCAAGCTTCCTTGCTTGCCACATATTTGGAAATGCCATATGGACCAGGAGGAATCAGTAGAGCAATCAGCTTTTTGGGACCTGGCTGAGGGGGAGGAATTTGCATGATGAAGAAATAACTGAGTCAGATGTTTGCACTGGAGACTGTTTTTGACATCTACCTAAGGTACAAGGAATGTTGCAGATGTCCCAGGCATGAGTTGAGGGGATCCAGGAATCTGTATACAGAGAGGCTCAAAGCAACAGAAGCTGATGGACCACCATCACTTCATTTTGCTTTTATTTTTTCTAGGGTGATTCTGGAGGTCCACTGGCCTGCAAAGAACCCAGTGGCAGATGGTTTCTGGCTGGTCTGGTCAGCTGGGGAATGGGATGTGCACGTGCAAATCACTATGGAGTATACACCAGGATCACTCAAGTGCTGGGCTGGATGAACCAAACCATGAGCTGAGAAAAGTGCATCTCTCTATCTCTGTACATCATCTGATGTATCCCCATCACACCTACACTCACATGGTACTCATTCCTGATCTTGCTCACTTGCCTCTCAGAGAGAGTGTGGGATGTTGTCAGACCCAGGATGCTCTTCTGAACAGGGTAAAAAAGGCTGCTGCAGGGATTGTAGAGAAAAGCAGGCAGACCCTCTTCCCCATTAGTACTTCCCAGGGAGCATCCCAAGGGGTTTTTTGGCCATCCATCCAAAAGCGGGGAGAAGAGAGGCAGGTGAGGGAGTTGGGGGGCGATGACATGAAACACAGCAATAGTCCCAAGCTGATGGTTTCTGAGAAGAGGACTAAGGGGAGCTGAACTTTCCATGAACCATGTGATTCAGCCACAGTCTTATGCTGGAACATTTGCTGAAAGAAAATGTGACTGATGTAGTTAGAGATTCCAGTAACTGTGAAATCAATCTGCCTCCCTCTTCCTTCCTGCTGCTTATCCTTCATCCCCCTTCCCCTCCCATCACTCCTCCTCTTCCATCTCCCTAATTGCTTCTTTTCTTAGCTGGCGTGTGCTGTTCAGTGTGCTGTTCAGCTCAGCCAGGCAACTCTTCACGTCTCACTGACTCCCAGGCATGAGTCCAGCATCGCACCCCCAAGCACGTGTCCTGCCTCCCTGCTGGAGCAGCACCCAGCCTCCACTGCTGCACTTCCCCCAGTAAAAATGCTGGAGCAGACTCCCACCCCCTTCCCTCAGCCCTTCTAAATACCTTTAACATCAGGGTGTCTCAAGCTCTTCCATCTCCTATCTCAGGTAATCCAGGAGGTGAAGGAGAAGGCTTCAGGGCACAGGGCTTAAACTGCAACTGCTGTGGTTTGGTTTTTTAACTAAAGATATACGTGTGTGTGTGTGTGTGTGTGTGTGTAATAATGGGCCACTCTCTGGAATCAGAAATAAAATTAATTTGAGGATTTTTTTGGCTCTTGTTTGCCTCACCCTGCTAAAAATTATCTTGAGGTTTGTATGTTTTTGACCAAACTCCAGTCCTGACACTGGCAAATGGCAAGAGTTTCCACAACCCTGCCCACCCCCCCCCACCCCAGATGTCCCTGGAGTCAACACATTCACTAGACAGGTGGTCCTCACTAATTGTTATGATTTAGGACCTGCAAACCTGCTCTGTAGCCCAGCTGCCTGCAGTGGGGATGCAGCACAGACACAGTGGGAAGCACCTCCAGCCCCCAGAAGACAGGCACAGAACAAGCAGATTCTGGTGGCTCCAGGTGATTAATCCAAACCCCTTTTCTCCAACTCCCACCCCCTTACAGCAGGAATGAATTTTTACCACTTGAAGTGAGAGGCAGCAAGGAGGAACAGACTGTGAATTTTATTCAGGAGTCTTCAGACACAGCAGTGAAGCAAATGCCCCGCTCCCTAAAACTGGGATCTGCTTGGTGGTGGCTGACACAACATCAGGTACCAGCATGTTCCTGGTACCCAGGCAGCACACCATTCTCCTTCTCACACTGCTGGCACAGAGCTGCTTTGGGGGACAGGGAGAGAAGCACCAAGGAACGTAATACCCAGCACAGAGACACCTCCGAGTGATACAGGAGGCCCAGAAAAGGATGGTGGCTCTGCATTTGTCCCCAGGCCACAAGCCCACACTAGTTGCCTGCAACAGTGAAAGGGCAAGGGCTGGTCCTTCCACAGCTGCCACCACCTCGGTCCCTATCTGCATCCAGCGTGCTCGGGAAGGGACCGCAGGCTGCAGTGGCTGATCGCTGATGTCCCCACCAGGGGCCACTGTGACATTAAGGAAAGCCAGACTGCCAGGCATAGGAGGGGGCCGTGGGCTCCCGCTCCTACAGCAGCTCAGGGGCTCCATGGAGCATCTGCCCTCCTCCAGGGCTGGAAGCTCAAGCCTCCGAGGTGAGTTGGTAAAAAAAAAATGGTTGCATGTCAAGAGTGTAGAGGGCTGGGGGCATCACTGTGGGACAAGGGGCTGCCATACACTGCAGTACAAAAATAAAGATATAAACAAGAAATGAAAAGGCTGGAGTGGAGTGTTCAGATCACATCCTCAGATCTCTGGCTTGTAACAGCTAGAGAAGGAGAGAGAAAGAGAAACACAATCAGTGGTAGGGAAAAAAAGCAAATGAGCATGGAGGGGAGAGTGAGAAACAGAAAAAGGTAAATGACAGAGGAAACACAAACATAAGAAAAAGAAAAGAAATGAGGGTGGGAAAACAGAACAGAAGGAAGAAAAAGTCCATGTGATTAACATACACTGACTCTTGAGATAATAACACTCAGGTCCCACAGCCATAGACAAGGTGGCTTTCAAACAGGGAGAGAGAAATGTCAGCCAGCTAACAAGTGCCCTCCATCAGGACTGGTGGAGATTGACAGTGAACACCTCCAGTTTAACAAGAGCCTCACAGTTTTGCAGTATGGAGAGGAATCCTCCTTCTTACGCTTTCCATACCGAGCCCCACACATGCTGGCCAGCCAGCCTTCCTAAGCAGGAGGCAGAGCGGAGAGGCTCATTTTGCACACAGCTGTGTGAACATCTGCAGTGGGGACCAGCTGCTTCTGCTCTGCCTTTGCCACCTTTCCCACTGCACTCTCACCCCTGGCAGAGCCAGTGGGGGAAAAGCCCAGGGAAGCGAGAGCAGGAAAGGAAAAATAACAGGCTGCCTTGTGCAAACTGCCCGGGCTGGCAGGCAAAGGAGCTGCGGACAGCAGCCTGGAGAAGCGATCTGGCATGCGTGTCACGCAGACACGTGGCAAAAGTCCACCCCTTCCCCTAACCACCCTTGCCTGCTTTGCATTCATTTCCACCCCTCTCCCAGCTGCACTCTCCTTTCTGCTGCCAGAGCCTCTGGTCCACAGCCATAGGATCTGCTTGGCAGGTAAAGGCATGCATAGGATGAGAATATGTAAAGACACCTTAGGGATGAGTCAACCTCACACCTCCCTCCTTCCCCTCCCCAAGCTCTACAAACCACGGCCATACCCACAAGAGGGAAGTGAGTCACTCATGCAGAGCTCAGGCTGGCAGGAGCTGGGAGTGCAGACAGGTAACATACCTGCAGAGGAGGAAAAGTGAGGAGCAGAGAGAGACAGGGCCCTGGGCAGAGACCACTCTGAGCCCTGGGGGACAAAGAGAGCAGAGGGAAGGATGCTGGAGGCTGGCGAGTGGGGCAATGTGGGAGGTAGATGACAGTGCTGGGATGGACGCGGAAGGGAGCAGGAGGGAGGGTCCGCAGGAAGAGAGTTTAGCACAATCCCGAATAGATGGACAGTCTGCAAATAAAAATAAAACCGTAGATAAACCAAACAGTTCAAAATACAAAGCAGCAGCCATGGTAACAGCTCTCCCCTATCAGCTTTATCTCCAGAGAGACTAACTCCTGGAGAGGACATCCCCCACACCCCACACCTGTTCTAGTCCTTCCCTGATGCTAGCTGTGAGCTCTCACCAGAAAGGTGGACGAGTCTATGTCTGGGGGGTTATTTTTATCATTTTCCTCAGGGATTTGCTGCACCTTTCTCCTCTGCTTCTGCTTCTGCCTCTGCCTCCTCCTCCACCTCCTGCTCTTCCTCCTCCAGGTCCTCTGTGTTCTGTAGCCCAGCATGTGGGACAAAAGGAAGAAAGAGTGGAGATACTTGCAAGATGAGCCATGGCAGTTCTTTCTGACACACAACGGAACAAAGCAATTGTCATAACATTGGAATAGAAAGGGACCATGGCCAAGACAATTTTAGGTCAGGGAACAGAGAGGCTTGTTTTCCTCTGGACTATCACATCAGGGTACCTAACCCACTTACCAAGTGCTGTGACCCCACCGCCCAACAACTGCCATCAGTTGCTAGTGTTCCTTCCTGCATCCTGGGTGTCTAAAGGATGTCATGCACTGCTACATGTTTCTGTCCTTCCCTCAAAAGGGGAGCAGGAGATATCTGCCCCTCAGGCTGAGACTCAGAAAAAGGAAAAAGAATGCTGCAAAGCCTTCAGGGAAATAATGCCCTATAGGCAGTGACACACACAGAATGGGCATGAGGAGGCATGAGGGGGATGTTAGAGTAGCATGAGAGGTGCCAGGGTGACTTGCTAAAGCCATTTGCCACACACAGCCACACACCACCCCACCCCTCCAACACACACACCCCTCCTTTTGGGCAACGGGTGTAACGCCATGGTGCTGAACACCAGGACTGGCCCCTGTATTTCACCACTGAAGTGCCCACTGTCACAAGGGAGAGAGAAAAGAGAGAAGGAGCAAAGAGCAAAGGATCTCGTGGGCAATGGGAGCAGGGCCATAGCAAAGTTAATCTCACCTTGGCTTTGTGGCTGGGCTCAGAACTCAGGCCATTGGGGGAGTTGTACAACTCCTTGGAGACAACACAGAGGAATTCTGTCTGATCCTCATTCCCATAATTATAGGATGAGCCAATGTTCACAAGCTAGAAAAGATGAGAGCAAGAATCACAAGTATATATCCCTGAAAACACCCATTCCACCTGGGGAGCAAGGCAGAAAGCCCACCATGCAGCACTGAGTCCAACCCATAATCCCAGTGGAGAGACCTCATAACTAAGCCAAGGTGACAACACAGAGAACCAGGAGATAAGTTATCCAGGATGCAAAACAGACAGGCCTCACACACTATCCTCTAAACCTCTAGAAAGGGGCAAGAAAGAGCCAGTGTGATGGCTGAATCAATGACTTACCCAGTATTCTCAGAGCAGGAAGGAGCCTTGCCTGGAAACTGTATGGTATTCATGATCTTTTCCCCAAAAGACAGCTCCTTCCCCCCCTGTTCTGCCTTATCCATACCTGCTCAAAGCGCCATCCATCTGACATAGTGGAAACCATCTGAGTAAGCTCCTCTTCCTGGCACTGCAGCACGCGGTAGACATGCTTAGGAGGCACCTGAGAGCAAAATTGCAGAGCACGCTGATAACAATCACATGCTAAAAGCTGCTCCCCTGCTGCAGAATGAAGTGGTAATATCCTTCCTTGACAGACCTGTCCTCTTCCCCATGTCCCAGGTGAAAGGGGAGTGGAAACCACAGTCCAGCTTTCTCCTGTGCTGTCATTGGAGGCAAGAACGGTATCTCTTCTGAAGAGCAGGGACTAAGCTGAGTGCTTCCTGCATTGTCCCCAGAAGATACTGCCCGCTTTTGATGGGGGGTTTGCAGTTGTCATTACAAAATTATTTTTGCAAACACAACAAATGCTGATGGGGCTTTGCAGCACAAAGTGACTGTGCTGCCAGAGGCTTATAACGTGAGGCAGACAAGATGAAAAGTGATATAGTAGACAATCCTCTCTGAAAAAAGATCTTCAAAGGTTGCTGGCCAAGACAGGGTATGATTGTGCTACAGGATTGATTCCTTGTCTGCATTTAACTCTTTTACAGACATCCCTTCACCATTTCCCTCCAGATTTCTTTACAGGTATTACCATGCTCTTCATTGTGATTACACTCCCAGGACTCCCCCACACCAGTCCTCCTCTCCATGACACCTTTGCTCTCTTCACAAACATTCCTCTATGCACCAGAGCAACCAGTTGCCTTCTTCCAAAAGCTAGAGGAGCTCACTTAGTTTCAGGGGCTACATCCAGCATTACTTCTGGGATGCAAAGCAAGCCTGCAATTTGTTTATTGTAACTAAATTGGTGGTAGCTTGTCCCCTGCAAGATTTTGCTGCATAGGGATTAGCACATTAATTAGTTGCTTCCTTCCATTCCTTGCTGCTTCCCTCAAGTCTTCTCTCAGTCTAGACTCATCTCTCTCCCGTTTTACACACCCTGCTTTCCCCACTCTATTTTGCCATACCTGTGTCACTGTGTAGTCCTTCTCCTCCATTCGATCCTTGATTATTCGGATCAAAGGACCAATGTTATAGAACTCCGCTTCTTCAAGGATCCCTGAGAAAGACAGAAGGAAGGACCACAAAGACAGAAAGCTAGCAGCCCATCTTTATTTTTCAACTTGCAAAAGATCAATTCTGAGCTTCACAAGGTCCATAGGGAGAAATTATATTACTGCCTTACTTTTGAACAGGCTTGAAACTCTTACTGCAGAAAATTGAAACTTGGCTCTCTGCATCTTGCTTCTAAAGCACACCCCAACTTCCTTATGCTGCCTGCTACTACAGAAACAGGCACTGCCAGTGAAGTCTTGTGCTGAGGACTGCTAATACCTTTCCCAGATACCTGGCCAAGGAGAACAGCTGTAAGCTCCAGTCTCTCTCAATGACCACTTGTTATCACCTTGCTCAGACAACACAACTTATGGTTCTGACAAGTCACCAAAAGACCCTAGAAAAGCCTAACTTACCTCCTGGACCACTTGGAGTTGCAGCCCCATATGACTTTATATGATCTTTGGCTCTCTTCCCTGTGCTTCAACTCAAAACAGGTAAACAAACAAAAATGGTTTTGTTTTTTTTCTCTATGGTACCTGCATCTAGCACCTCTCCTGAGACTCACCTGTTTGCTAACAGGCCTTCAGGAAAAGGGAGGTGGTTCCCAGAGGGTCAGTGAGGGAAAGGTGGCTGGAAGCCAACACTAACATGTCCCCAGGGCAATACAAAGAAAATATAGATGGGAAGATTGATCCTTTACTACCTGACACACTCAGACCTCTTCTGTGTCTCTCATTCAGCTATGAATTGTCTAATGGGTTAGTTTTTTGCCAGTCTGAGTGTTTGCAGCAGGAAAAAAAATAAGGCAATGCAAATGAACTGGACTCCTGTTTATCTTTCAGATTTGTTATTAAAACCTGCGGATGAACTCTGTATGACCTCAAGATTACAAGAAATGTCAAGTAGGAAACACCTCAAAATTGTGTTTATTACAATCCTATACCATTAGTTTGGTATATTTTTGTAATTATAACTGATAAAACTATTCTGAAGAAAAATTTCCTTAGACTAATGACCATGCAGAAACTGTGCTTGGCAAGAGCTGTGTAGCACAGCCTGTATTTCAAATTGGCTCCTTATTAGATCCTAACATCCAAAAAATAACAAGGCACTGTGGGCTGCTGGCTAGTAACACTGTGATGTCACCAAGTCATCCTGTTGGACCCACTGTCAACCTCAAATGAGGGATTGGTTTCTCTGACTTGCTCCACTGGAATTTCTGTAGCCCACAACCCATGAGAGCACAGGCAGCATACAGTGCATATCACTGATTAATGATGGTCTTTATTACAATCAGTAGAAGACATGAGCTCGGTTTTGTTTGGTCTACTGGGCTTTCATTCCTAATTAGAAACAGACATTAATAGAAAACTCAGTCTCAGAGCCTGGTTGAAAGTAGATCAGGAACAAGTAAAAAATGACTTATTGAGGCTCTGAGATCTTGCCTACCTCTGCCTTGGTGACATCTCTGCTGGACAACACCTGCAAGGACATCTTCCTCACCTACTCCAAACCCCTTTAGTAAAGGAAACATCGTCATGCTTTGCAGGGATAGCTCTCTGAAATCCCCCCACAATAACATCCAAAAGGAGAACAGGAGACAACAAGGTTGACCACAAGCCCTATTTTTCCTGACTGTGGTAAGTGGGATTTTTCTGAGCTCCACAACTCACCCTCTTCAGCCATATCTTTATCAAGGACCAGCTTCCCATGACGGAGGAAATTCAGAATCGGTCCAAAGTAAGTGGGGTCTCGATCTATTAGATATGCACCAGTTTCATCCTAGCAACAGAGATAGATCACAAGGAGAAAAAAACCAAGGAAAACTTTTAGCCAGCCCTCAAATGCCCTAGAATACAAGAAAATACAAACCTAAGCAAAAATATCCACTATTTCTGAGATTCTTTGGAAACCATGGGTCCCTGAGAGTCCCTAGCCAAGTCAGTCCACCTTGGATTTTAACTCCTGTATTGGTCTACTCAGCATGCCCGCCTCAGTATGAATCAATCCAGATGAAAAAGCCCAAAAAATAGGCCTCAGTCTCTCTGTGCAACTGTGCATCCAGGCCTGGTGTGAGAGCAGCGATCCTCTTACAGGGACAAGGCTGAGTCAGGCAGACACAGCTGGGAAGCAGACCCAGGATGTCGGGTGGGTGACAAAGAGGAAGGAGAGCAGGAGCAGAGGGGAGATGGCCTCTCCTTTCCCCAGCTCGGGAAGGCAGCTGCCAGGCTACAACAAGGTGGAATCTGGCATGGGGAAATCCTTCCCGGGAGAGGGGGGATAAAGAGCAGGCGTTTCTCACTCAGTTGCTCCTGCAGCTGCCGGAGTCTGGCTCCATCCCTGCGTCCCTCCAGCCCTCCCCATGCTCGGTGGGGCACGGTGCGGGAGGCAACCCAGCTGCCTTACCCGGTCCGACTGCAGCTCCTCGCCCTGGCACAAGCGACACAGGAAAGATTTCTGCTCCCGACACAGGGTCTGCCTGGTGGTGAGGAAGACGGTGCCCCCCACATTGAGCCTCACCCACTTGGCCTGGGTGCCAGCGGGTGGCGGGATGTCCCAGGTACAGCGTAGCCCCACGGCGCCCTGCATCTCCTCCCTGCCCTCCATCCTCATCCTCACCCCCACCTCCCCCACGGCGTGCAGGGACTGCCGCAGGTGCTGCCTGTCGGAGAATGCCGGGATCTGTAGTTTATCTGCCTCTCCCTCCGCAGCAGCCGTGTTTCCTGGGGGCTAGACCTTCCCTGTGACTACCGAGGGAGTCCAGAGAAGAGGAAGGTTGCTCGGTGCTGGAGACTATCACTGAGGCTATTGAGGTGGGCAAAGTCACAGCTCCACAGCGCTGACACTCCCTGGCTTTTCCTCTGTTCCCGTTTTCACAGACCATGGGCCGGTCAGCACTCCGGAGGTGCAGGGTGTTATGCAAAACTCGTCGGCATTTATTTCCACAGACATCCTCTCTGGCTCATTAAAAGCTTCTGGGAACTGTAGTTTCGCGGAGACATGCACAAAAGGGTGATGGGAACTGTAGTTTCCCCAGCTTGCTGTTCCTGCAATGAGGATGCTATAAAGAAGGGGACTGCACCACATGACCCCAGCCCTGCGGCTGGTACTCTGCCTGCTTCCAGTCCTGGGTCTTGTCTGCAAGCTTCCTCGGAGGCAGGAAGCACAACCTGCTCCCTGGCAGTCGGCAGATTAAGCCCCTCAGCGCTGTACTTCACAGCATTCCCTTCAGGACATCCATTACCTCAGGCTCACCGCTCAGTGCCGCAGCAGTTGCCATACTTTCTTGCAGCAAAATATGCAGACGGTTGCCTTCTTGCTAACATATGTAGGGACATTCTGGGAACTATAGCCTGGATCCACACGAAGTGCTGGCAGGGGGCAGGAATAATTTTTCTTCCAGCTCAGAGGAGTCGCTGACTTAGCAAAGTCCCCCCTCCCTGTGCTGCTCTACCTAGCAGAAACCCCCCACATCCTTCCCCTGGGCTCCTGCCATCCCTGTTTGTGTCTGGGCAACAGAGTTCAGACCAACTCAGCTCTGTGTGGAGTTTTACCTCTGCCCCAGGCACGTATCACCCGCTGCGGCTGATGTGCCAATCCCGTGTTGTGGAATCTAGTCCTGCCCCTGCCACTCGCTCCTGCCAGGCCGAGCCTCGTGCTCAGCAGTTCATGCCCCAGGGGACTCTGTTCAAACAAACTCCTTGGCACGGACAGAACCTGAACAAGCTCTCTCCAACAGAGAAGCTCTGCTTTTCCCACTCCCACCTAAGCACAGCTGTGCTTGCCAGCAGCTTGTGCACATTAAGAATGAAAAGCTGGTGTTTCACCCCATTGTGGCTCAAAAACCTTCCTCCACCTAAGCAACTTCCTGGCTCTCCCTTGAAAGGACAACGCAGTACTGCAGAGACACACAACACTTTCTTTTTCTTGCATTTAGATCTTGGTGCCTTTAGAGGTGGGGGAGTTACCTGAGTGAAGAGGATGGCTAAAGAGAAACATTATGTTTTACTCCTACATTCCTTTTCTTCTTGTCCTTCCTTCTTTTACTTGCAAATCACTCCCTTCTATCACTAAAGAAGAAGGCAGCATTGCCCTTCCCCCAAATTGCCCAGGACTTCCTTTCACAAAGATTGCACGTGTACTTTGCTCATTCTGTGGAGGAGTGCCAAGGGGAGGAGAGGAAAAGAGGGTTAACACGGAAGAGGTTTCAAGATTGCTGACCTTCAGCTAAGTACAGGAACAATTCAGCTGCTCCAGAGTGTAAGTTTAAATAATTTTGAATCAGCACTAGAGTGACCATTAACAGAGCATGAAAAAACATTTTTGTCTACCTATTTGGAGCAAGCTCTGGCCAAAATTACTGCTCAGCCCTGGGACCAGTCTCCACTGAGCAGTAACATGCATCAAAGATGCTCAGGCTAACAGTGACCCGGGCTGAAGCGTCACACAGCGCAGCACAGCTCTGGGCTGTCAGACTGCTGTCCTCCTAATTCTGGCTCTGAGTCAAACCACAGCAAATTGGAGAACTCTGCCCTGCACTCTGGTGTGTGAGGACTGCAGGACCCTGTCTGTACTGGCTACAGCTCCAGCACAGACAGAACTAGGCTGAGGACTGTTGCTCTCTGATATGAATGCAGCAGTTGGGTGATAGCCTACAGCCCTTTTTCTCCCCCTCCAAGAAATCTGCCCTGCCTTCAATTTTTTTCCCTTTTACCAAAGGATCACATTCTCCTTTTCCTCCTCTCACAGCCCCTCAACCTCTTTCTCCTTTTTAGGGTCCATCTCTTATTTTCAGCACCTTCTTTTCCAACCTCCCCCATGACAACGCTGCTCACGAGTCCAGGATGGTCTATACCCAAGGCATACTTCCTTCCATCAAACCAATCTCCACTTGTGACTGGAACCTCAAGTCTTGCTCACACCAGGGCCATGGGGTGAAAAGTTAATTGCTAAATCTAAAGAGGTATATTGTGAGTAAGGAAACACATCAAGGGACATCTCTTCCAACACTAGAGCCTTTTTTTCTGCAATGTACAGCAAAAAAATCATTGAAAATGCACCAGGCCAGGGATTTCCCCACAGTATGTGAAAATTCTCTTTAGGAAGAAGCCAGTGTGGGGTGAGTTGCCAACTGAAATGTTCTGATGAGTTGGTGGCATGGGCTAAAAACAGACTGGATTGCACACTATAACCAGATGCAGTTGTGAGATGCAATTAATGTGTCCTTGTTAAGGTCCCCTAAAATCAATTAGCAATAGGTCACAGGAGAGGTAAGTTTAAACAGTTTGTGGTATTTGGTCAAAGATTGGACTCGAGATGTCAGTTCTTTCCTAACCTTAATTTTTTATGGTTCTATGACTTGTTCCTCCTGCCTTTATGATAACTGTATATAAAACACATGCACAGCAACAGAGAGGAGAGCAAGCAAGAGTTTACACAGGGCTGGCTATATGATGGTGTAAGACTGTACAGCCTTGCAAAGTCCCCAGTGAAATCATGGGGACCATTGCACAGATGGACTGGGCGCAGGAAAAACTTGACAGCCACTGGATACTGGGCTGAACAAGAGCTGAGAAGAACAGAGCAGGGGTAAACTGGGAGTGTCTTGGTTCAGCAGTCAGGTCTGCAATGCAATCCTGCAGAAGGCTACACACACTGCAGTGCTCTGCAGCTTGGTATGTGGAATGTGATGCATCTCTGGCATTGTAGAGGTGAACTTATTGAACTGTTGTGTTGTGGAACAGCAGTGGGAGCAGAGGTCACCATGTGTTGGCACAGTGTCACCACTCTGACAGGCTGGGAACACATATTGGGGATTACATGGCAGGAGGCACCAGAGAAGAAACCAGGAAGAACAAGTTGGCATGTCCATGTAGGATCAGTGCCACTCTTTTTTTCTTCAGGAGGTGGAGAGGGGAAGACAAGTGATGCTCTGACATTTTGCCAGTAAGCCAACACTCAATTTGGCAAATAAAATTCCCTGCACTGAACTTGGGGGTTGACACAGTTGAACAACAGAGTCCAGCTTGACTGCCAGCTGAACCAGGCGTATTGGAGCATGAAGAGAAAGGCCCCATGGCATACAGGCAAGCTAATCTTCCTCCAGCTCCTTGTGCTGCATGAGGTCTGTGAGCAATGTACCTGCATTCAAAGCAGTGTGCGAAGCCTGTGTGTGGACGTGCATCATGCAGCACCTTTGCTGGAACACTGCTGGGAGAAGGAAACAGAATTGTTGTGTAGCACCTGGTTGTAAGCTGGGATCAGAAGAGATGGGAGGAATATGAAATGTCCCTGCAGGCAACACCAATTACCACGGCTTATGTAGTACTGAGGCCAGTGGTGCTGGTAGAAGAAGGGCTGCTTTAGAATTTAGAAAAATTTGCAGAGGAACAAAAAGTTTGCTGGGAAATGAAGCATGAAATAGTGCAACCTGACTGCTAGAGAGCAGTATGGAAGGAAGAGGAAGGCAGGTTACAAAGAAGACAAGTGAAGAACAGGGGACCATGGGATTACTTTTGACTAGACCAGACTGTTTCACAGAATCCAAACCTCCTTCAAGACAAAAGTGCAGACAGTAAAATATAAATAAACCAATAAAGAGTTTATATGCTGGCCTGGCATTCTCAAATTTATACAGAGAGCTGTAAAAACTCTAGTCTCAGTTTAGTCACGTGTCAATGTAACCTTCCTCCTACATCAGGGCTGTTATTTAGGCTACCTTTTTGGCTACCATGAGCCCTATTCCACCAAAGATATGCTATTCCAAATTCCCACAGGAAATTTTCCACAGGAAAGTAATGAACATTAGTGATTTGCTTTATATCCACTACTCCCCAGCTTTAGGTTCCTATAGGAAACCCACCCACTGAGTCAGGGACATAAAGATCTGCAGAACATTTATAGTCCTGGTGTAAGTCCCCTCAGCTGTTCCATATGTCCAGTAGCATCTGTTATAGCTCAAAATAGGCTTTTGCAGTCTCCAGGCTTTGAAAACATTGTCTCTGCCTTCACAACGTTCTCAGTGCTTTGCCTGCATCACCAGAACAGATCTCCACTAAAAGGAGGGGGAACTTCAGAAAACACTGTTGGATAGATTTTTGATACATAAGAGGGAATACCCCAGAAAAACAAAGTATCTTGCTGTGGGAAAGAAGATCTCAGTTTCTCCCCTGTGGAGAAAGCAAGGCAAAGTTAAGCATCTGGGAAAAGATTTGCCAAAAACTGGGAAGAATCCTGACATTTTGTAGCAGAAAATTCAGCCCGAGAAGGGCAGTTGAGTACTGCCAAGCTTGGCATAAATACCAGAGAGGGGGAAGGGCCCTGCTAGATGTCATCGAGCACAGGGGTGAAATGTAGAGCAAGGGGAGACAGAAGTTTTCCACTTAATTTGCAATCTCCAGGTGGATGGCTGGGCTTTGCTGCAGACATCCCTGCAACACACAGAACAGAGAAAAGCATCTCAGCCTCAAGAGGAAGCAGAGAGATTCCCACTGACCAAAACGACTGCTGGGTCAGTGGCAAAAGAGAAACATAGTGCTTAAGATGCATCAAAAATATCCTGGAAGTACCCACAAAAGCCAGCTCCCTGCATCTATTGCAAATAAATCTGAAAT